GCTACAGCTGTTTAAATGCAGAAAGTCAAGTACGCTCAATGTAGGTGAGGTAAGTTGAGCAAGGGTATGGGGCAAGTTGAGCACTAAGAATGTCTAACCAAACCATGGGTTCAATGTTGACTAGAGATGAAGTAAAATATGTGTTTGACAATCAGCTCTTTATTTATAGTCTTTTAGTGACAGAACAACAAAACTTAAAGTAATTTTCTTTGAATAATTAACCAAAACTAGAATCAACAAAACATTAGCGTATCTTAATATTTACTTCAGCATTAGATTCAGTCTTTCTGTTCAAAATAAGACTTAAATGTTTATATTATTACAAATATAGCTTATATCTTTAAAAAATTAATTAGATCTTTGGAACTTAATGGTCATTGTCACTGTTGCAATTGACAAAAATGAAAGTAAGTTTATATAGTCTTAGTGACAGAACAACAAAACTTGAAGTAATTTTCTTTGGATAATTAACTGAAAATAGAATAAACAAAACATCAACGTATCTCAAGACTAACTTTAGGATTAGATTCAGTCTTTCTGTTTAAAGTCAGACTTAAATATCTCAAAAAAATATATTATTAAGATCTTAGCAACTTAATCGTCGTTGTCACTGTTGCAATTGACACAAACGAAAGTAAGACCAGCACCTGGAACACATTTTGTATGTGCCCATTCCCTGCAAACTTGACACTGGATCCACTTTTCTCCTGGTAAACTTTCAGCATAGCCTTCGCAACAAATCAGACAGGAATAATTATCATCATCACTTGACTGGAGTATTTTTTTAAAAATACCCTTCTTCCTTTTCTTGTCGCTTCTTAACTTTTTTTTGTGGTTTTATTTTGCTGTTCTTCTAAAGCGTTCTTTTCGGGAGTGTCTGTTAGTATTGCAGCTTTCCTCTTTCTTCTGTTAGTTTTAGCTGCTTTTCTAGGGCCAGCCTTTGGGTATGGTCGTACAATTTCCGGGGAAAATACTTGTATTAGGTCGATCGTCTCGTTTTTTTTGTTGCTTGGACCAGGTTCGGGTTCAGCTTGGCTGGTGGAGGCAGAATGAGTGGGATTAGGTTCAGTGCTGGACATCACAGCTTGTTCTGGATGATCTTTTTCCGGCTCGATAGTTTCTGGTTCAGGACGATCGGTTACAAATGATGGTGAAAACTCATCCTCACCAAAAATGTTTGCATTATACGGGAAGATGCCTGTTTTTCGGAAACCGTTAACAATATTTATACTTGTCTGAGCAAACGGCAACGAATCAGCGACTATTTTTGGTATATCATAAATAGTAAGGGTTTTCCCCGGATTGTTTCGTAGCCATGCATCTTGAGCAGCAGCGCAATACTTTTTGAACGGTCCAAAGACTGACACATCCAACGGTTGTAATTTATGGCTACAATGCGGTGGAAAGGACAGCATTACAACTCCGTTCTCTTTGGCCAAAGTTAGTGTCTTCACGTTCAAGTGAGAGGAGTGATTATCCAACACTAACAAAACAGGGCGCTCCATGGACGGTTTCACATGTTTAATAAAATGTTGCATAAACTGATGGAATTCGTCGTCTGTAACCCTTCTACTGGCATTGCCTGCTCCTATACATTCAGGTGGACCACCGTTAATAAAGTGTGTCTTAAACTGTTTTCTCGGAAATACAAACATAGGAGGTACAGCATTTCCAAGAGCAGATACAGCAGTTACTACTGTAACGTTAGTGCCTCGTTCCCCAGAAGTCATTGCGCCGACATTGCGCTTACCTTTGGCAGCTACAATTTTATTTGGCTTCAGCACAGTGGATACTCCTGTCTCATCTATATTCCAAATGTCTGCCGCAGTAAATCCATATCTATCCATTACTTTCGCTAATTTCTCAAAAAAAAATTTTACATTCTGCTCATTAAATGATGTTACCCTACCAAGGCTGGTGGGTTCTGGTTTTCGTATGGATAGCTCCGAATTTCGTTTTAAAAACATCGTAAGCCATTCTTTTCCGGCCATCGTATTTGCAGTCCAGCTGGGTGGAATTTTAATGCCAAATTTAACAGCACATTCGTAAGCAAGGCGACGGACGTCTTTTGGAGAATATCCATAGAAGATTGATGCCATTTGTAGCAAGTATTTTTTCAGAGAGTCTTCCTGTGTAGGAGAAAATACTTGCCTCGGTGTTGCATAGCCCATGGATGAATCACCACCTTCATTTAATTTCTTCAAAAATCTTGTCAAAGTCATCCGTTTGATACCAAATTCTTTAGCGGCGGCATTAACACTTTTTCCTTCATCGTTGACGGCCTTTGCAGCATTTTTTAAATCTTCAGTAGTGTAAGAACATCTTGTAGTCTTCCTCTTGTAAGTCCGCATCCTAACAAAAAATAAAACATTCATTACTTTAGTTGTTTGAGTCGTGGGGTAAATTGAGCAACTATAGCTCAACTAACCTCAACCCGGAATTTCAAAACAAAAGCGAGGTTTTAAAAAAAATCGTAAGAATTATACCCATAACCTCTCTACATATCAAAAGTACAATAATTCTCTGGAAGATTAACACTTACCTGATTGAAAACAGATAACAATTGACTAATGCAGACGAAAACTTGCGATAAACGACGTTTTTACTTTTTGATCACAAAATAAACAAAACGCACGGGCGCTTCACTCGTTCGTCCAGCCGCCACTAGCGATTGCATGGTGATTACCCCTCCCGCGACTCCTTCTTTCCGCCATACGATGCCTATGCGTACGGTGAATAGTTTGCGAGATATTTCGGTTGCCCAACTTGCCCCTATGCTCTACTAGCCCCGCCCTACCCTACGCCTCTCAACTGTGGAATCCAAATTATAACATTTATATGATGGTTGAGCAAGTACAAAAGCGTTTTCTACGTTTTTTGCAATTTAAGCCGAAATTTTACACTAATAACCACATTTCGCGATGTAAAAAATTTTATATTTTGTCTTTGCACGAACGTAGGCGCATAGCAGATATGATTTATCTTTTTAAATTGGCAAATGGTAATATTGACTGTCCGGAGCTACTGAGTAAATTAGGCTTTACAACAAGAGCTACCCTATTAAGAAAGCCTCGCTTACTCCACGTGCCGCATACCCGGAATAAATACAGGCAAAATTCTTTTATGATACGTGCGTGCAGAACTTTTAACGACATTTCCAATAGCGTTAACTTGGATCTGTTTAGCACCAGTGTTTCTCGAATCAAAAATATTTTAGCGAAAAAATTGTTTTGTTGAGTGTTTTTCTGTTTAATTTAGTTAATTTACTGTATTTGTCTTAATCGATGTTTATCTTTTACCGACTAGAATTATTGTTTTTAAGTTCATATTGTCTATTGGTGAAAACTTTTAAATGGCCTTCTAGTTGTTATTCATTTGTTTTCTGTTGATGTTAGCTGTAAGTTTTCCAATAAGAATAATATATATATATAATTTATGCTATGGCATTATACCCCATTAACTTTTATATACTTTTTAGATTACCCGGAAACACTGAATCTATTTACTGAATTCAGAGAACTCAACTGATTCGACCGGTTCACATACAAGCCCCTTTATCTAAGATAATGTATCCTGTTTTTCAGCACATCATCTTTATTCAAGATGTAATATTTGAATGAAATAAATGCATGTACACTTAATAACATCTACAAAGTTAATAATCAAATAACAGATTATATTGTGCTCGTTTCAAATCGACACAAAAATCGATCATGTAGAAGACAAATCGACGTGCCTAGTAAACAATTTTAAAGTTTCTACTCAAAGTTTCCAAATGAGAAGAGTCCAAGGAGATGTCGTGTATTACAGATAGCGTTCAGAAATAATAATTCCATTTGTCAATTTTTTATGTTAATTAATTTATTGACATGAAAATGCTTATTTCTATTTTTTTCATAATCAAATAATATGCTTTGATTCCAAAGTTAAAAAGCACCACTCTTTTTTTGGATTCGAATAAAAATGCAGTCGATGATATAATCGATTTTGTAAATAACTTCTTATTTCAATGTTTTTCGTGATGCAGATTGTAAAATGAGCTATTTTTTATACATTTTGTAGTGAAATATAATTTTTTTAAAGTTTATATCAATCTGTTAACCTCAGGCCCAAAAGTCCCATTCTACTTTCATTCCACCCGTAAGCGGTGACTACGTGAAATACCAGAGAAATTTCACGGTAAATATGGTGGTATGTAAAATACCAAGACCGGAGGAGCTCAAAAATGCTAGATATTATCTGATATGCGATCATCAATATGTCTGCCAAGAGAGTGTAATTTATGACAAATCTCCTATACAAAGGGAAAGGCCCATGTTTTTTTTTTCAATAGCATTGGGTGACAAACGAGCACACAGTCTACCTGATGGTAAGTTGATGCTGTGTCCACATTTATCATCAATTAAGGATCAAACTTCAAATGCGTTGTCACATCTGAGGACTAAGATGGAATGCCTGATTACAGTTAAAAGGGTCTCCGGTTCTCCACACTCACCATACGAAACACAGCAGCATTACACTGCTATTTTAAGCTGGTATTTTGTGAGAGCGTGGAGCTGCCCTGGTCAAGCCGACCCATTCATGCTACAACTATAATATAGCTGCAGCGAGGCTCAACCACGTAACACGTACACCATACACACGTACCATGTCCAATAAAAGACTGCATGATGAATAAATAGAGGAAAAAAAGTGGAAGCCAAAAGAAAAGTTTTAAAGGCAAAACGGCTCCTTTGAAAAAGGAAATTGAATAAATGTTTAGAACATCATAAAACTGTATTATAAAAAAGAGAAAACAAAACGCAATTTAAAGGAAAATTTGTCATTGCCGCGCTGTCGATGACCTCTGCGTGTGATAAAAGACTAAAGCAACGATGAAGGTCAAACTGATTACGCTGAACGTATGAAAATATAACCAACACAATGGAATGACCTTCACACATTTTTCTCAGATTGTGGGCCCATGTTTATAGTTGGACCGATATAAAAACTCCATTTTCATGCCCACCACGACAAATAGAGCTGATGAACTCTCAAATGATACTACATCCTCATCAAGTGATGGACTGTTAGAGTTGCAAGTTGCTGACTTTATGTGTCTGTTTTTAGATACCTTCCCCACAGTAGCGGCGTTAGGGCAGGGCGCGGTTGGGCGACCGCCCAAGGGCGTCAACAAGAAGGAGCGCCAAAATCGAAAAAGTATATGTGAGGGAGAAAAAGTAAAGTCCGGAGTTATATCGCTAGCCAAAAAATTCAAATACTATGTGATTATAGCTGAATGCACCAGATATATTGCTCACGTAGAACAACTTTCACTCACACTCCGATTTGTTGATTAATCATCAAATTAAAAAGAAATAAGTATAAAGGAACATTTCATAGAATTTTTAAAAATCAGTGACATCAGTGGTGCAGGTCTAACTGATTATTTGAATCTGAATTATTATTTATGTTTTAAATAAAAATGGACTTGAATTGGTTATGACAACGGAGCGAATATGAAAGGAAAAAACGTTAGTCCTAAATTTCTGGACAACAACCCTTAGCTATTTACATACCGTGTGGCTACTATAGCTAAAATCTCGGACCCGGTATGCTACTAAGACCTAAACCCAAATGCTGAACCGGGGCGGATCACTAGTATTCAGTAAAAAAAGCTCAGTAAAACTCGTTGGGAAACAAGAATAAGCAGTGTTAAAGCAGTCCGTTATCTAATTAGTAACGTTCATGATGCTTTAATTACTTTGGTTATTGAAGTCAAGAGAACCGACGTTCCAATCTCTTACGCGGCCACTACTCTAGCCCAACAGCTGAAAGATATCAGCTTCACAGTTTCACTGGTTGCTTGGTGTGATGTACTGTTCCAGATAAATGTTATTAGTAAATTCCTGCAATCACCAAATACGGTTCTCGCTAAATGCACAGAGATGCGCAGGAAATACTGTTCTTTCTTGAAAAAAGACAGAAAAACGAGTTTTGAAAGCGTTATTTCATTAGAGAGAGAGAGAGAGAGAGTTGGCGGAAGAATTTGAAAACGAACCAGCATTTATAACTACAACAAGTATAAGACGTATTAAACGCCAACCAAGTGACGATTTAGCTGCCAGTGATAAGCCTTTAACTGATCCGCAAAAGGAATAGGAAGTTGAATTTTTAAACTGCCTTTTGGACACAACTTTAAATATACTTAGTGATAGAATTGAACAGTTAAATGAGTACTCAAAACCGTGGTCTTTAATGTTCAATATAAAAAGGATTCCTAAAAAACCAGACATTGTAATTAAAATCACCAATGGGGTCGAATCCGATGTAGAACTCATTCGTTGTGTAATAAACTCATAAGCCTGAAATAATTTTTGGCTACGTGACGTTGTTATCCCTACATATATTTTAAATTTTATTAAAGATTGATAAGTGTCGAAACGTAAGGAAGCGAGTGGGGAAGTAGTTGACAAACTTGGCAACTTTGTCAATAGAAAATAACATTGCAGAAGACATCACCTGATGCCCTAATAAAAGAGTTTGCCGATAGAAAAGTAAATTTTTTTTAGGAAGTGTACTTAATTGAAATAAACGATTGTATTTAAAAAAGTAGAGCTAGGGCGCCCGTAGAAATCTCGCCCACGGCGCTAGTAATAATAAAACCGGCACTGCTCTTCCATAGATAAACTTATAAGGGGTATATTATCGCCCCAGTCTGACCAGCGAAATAAGCACTTGCTAATTAATATTACAGAAAAAAATTGGTTGACCCTGCAGGCCATCCTTGGAACTTCCCGCTAATTTCAAATGCAAAGCGCTCTAAATTTCACTAAATTGCGAAATCTCGAAGTTATGTTTAAAAAAAAACAATTTTGTCAAATTCTTTCTCCTTCGATATCTCACGAACGAATGAACCGATTTTTATTTTCCAAACGACATTCGACGTCATTGTTAGAGGTTAAGCGTTTTTTTGAAATCGATCGGTAAAGCCGTATAAAAGTTATTTCAAAATAACAGTTTTTCAATTTTTTTATTTTTAAGATTTCTCAAAATCTACTCATCCGAATTAGTTCATATTATCACCAAATCTATTCCACATTGAGATCTTTAGAACGCTCAAATCAAAATTTTTAGAACCGCATCTCAATCGATCAAGACGTTTAAAAGTTATGAAAGGTTTACATACTTACACACACACATACATACGGACATCCGTACGGACGTCCACGTGAAATTAGTCAGAATAGCTTTCTGGGATCTCAAAACGTCGAGATTTGATGAAAATTCGATTTTCGAAAATGGTGGTGAAACCTATAACTTCCCTATTTTTGAAAATTTTCAATTTTCTTAGCGGGAAGTTAAAAATCTTTATATGTATACAAAACTCCCGCGTGCTTCTGTTTGTGTGATTATTCTCCTCCTAAACGGCTAGACGAATTTGGGGATGGGGTTGGGGATGGTGGTAACCTGGATGGTTCTTAGCTGTATTGGACTAATTGGTGGTACTGTTGTTGAGATCTAGAAATCACCCGTGCGACGCCGGGGTAGATCGCCATTAGTCTTATAATTTTCAATTATTATTTTCTTCATAAACTTGATGTCTTTATAACAAATGTTACACGTATATTCAGATAGCCTCGAGATACACAAGCGAAGGTCGTGTGTGTTTACATACCGAGTGCATGAAAATTACACTGATAGCGTTATTTGTGTATTATGTCAAGACAACTTTTGCCTCTTTAAGAGTGCGATTCCGAGACACTATAATTAGGCAGAAAGAGTTATGAACTATAAAACCTCCTTTTATATTGTATTTTGTCTCAAGAAGTCGTTTAAATGCAGTTAGCATAAGTGTTAGATAGGATTCTGCTGAACTAATTGTGACTAATATTTTCTGAAGATACAACAACAGTACAGTATGATATGACTTACTTGAAAGTGTTCAATAAGAGCAATTTTTTAAGCTTTTTTCAGATTTTTCGAAATGTTATTTAAAAATTTAAGGAGAAGAGGGATACACTGGTGGCTACTTCTAAGCGTGATATTTTGAAAACTAACCTTATTTGTTCAAAGTGACTTATTGCAGATGGACCGTATAGTTATTTAAAATAACTATCAGATCGACAAGTCCGATATGCAAAGGTCCTAAAACAGCAAACTCTATTCAGCCGAATTAAAAAAAGAGGAGGTGCCAGTAATTTTTTGTATGTTACGCAATCAATTGTAAACCGACTTTAATGATTTTTTCTATTATTAAAAAGTTTATGCTTCAGGGTTCTCCATATAAAATTGGAGAAAAATTCTACCCCTAAGGTTGGGGAAAAGGGGCTGAAGTGTTTAATGTAACTATTGAGACGACATGCTAGATGTGACCTTAATTTTGTGATATTCCTTAGAAACTCAAATGGGTAACTAAATTAAACTTTCAATAAAAAGTAAGTCTGGGTAAATTCCCTTGTTGTACTATGCTGTACTACGTCTTAGTTTTAAAGGTAGATACTATACGGAAATTATTTTGTTCCTTTTTTATAGAAGAAGGAGCAAAACGAGCATGCGGCTCACTTGATGGTAAGTGACTACCGCCGAACAACCGCAACATCAGGGGGATTGCAGGGCTGGATAACCTCCTTGTTTCCCGTAGTTAACCGATTACGGAATTTTTTTTTACCTATTACGGACAACCCGTTTTCATCTGACAATGCCTGAATAAGGCTCCCAAGGCCGGTCCATAGTGGTGGACCGCGAGGAAAACCCGGGTAATGGGGGCATACCCCGAGGCCCGAGACCAGCAGGACCCCACAGTCCTTGCGGAAGACATCAGCGATTGCAGGTGCTTTTCCGGCCTTATATATTTATTTAAAACACATTTTAGTGTCTAATGAAACTGTCAACTCAACTGGGAAAAAAAGCTTTTTCACGTTACATGCCGTAAGTAAACACACACATTTCAAGTATTGGTATAATAAAACGTGAGGGTTAAGCAGTGTTTACCGGTAACGCATGTTTAACCACGTGCGCTCCGATCGATAAGCCGATGGAATAACAACAGAGCGCACGACTGTCTCTCATGTCAGTGAAACCTGCGGAGAATCGACTTAATTAATGTGTTCCTGCTCCTGCCACTGCACCAGTATTTTTATATGCGACCGTTAATGTTGTAAATTAAGGCCAAGTTGGATAAAATATCGTTTTTTCGACACAATTATGACCCTCGAGAATCACTGATATTTCTTGAAATAGTATCTCGGGAAAAATATGCGTGTAGATACGTGAAATATTCAATTCCTAATCAAATGGATTAATAAAATACTTATTAATACAGATAAAAAAATTATAATTTAATTGCAAAAAATGTTAATTTCGATTTCCCTTTTTTAAACGATAACCATATAATATGTGTAATATTTTTCAATAATATGTTATTAAATTAGATTCTTAATCGGTTATGTTTTGTGTAGATTTCTTATTTCCTGATAATAAGAAAAATGGCTTCAAATAAAGTAACTTTTTCTACACCGAATGTTACACGCTTACTTAACTGGATAAATATGCAGCGGAGGAGGGTGAGGGCTAAAAGCTTTACGTAAGAAATCTTCGCCGTAACCCCTAAAATATATAAAATGCAAAATGTACATAACCTAAACGAGAGATTTCTTTTTTAAACAAATTTACATAAACGCTATCATATATTTTTCTTATAACTGGTTATTGAAAGGTAACTACAAACATGTATGACGTAGAGTATGATTGTTTAAATAATAAATATCATTGCTAATTAACACATAAAAATTAGCGCCAATGGCAAAACATGACCGCAGCAACATCTTTGAGTCAGTTACAGAACTTGTCACCTGTATATTGTACCTGTATTTCACTGAAAGGAACCAATAGTAAAAACACAATGTTCTCGTTACAAAATTTGAAAGCAGTCTTCAGTATTCATATTATGGAGTCAAGACATAATATATCTATATAGTGAAATGATTAACAGACAAAGTTGTCTCTCGCACTACACAATAACATGCACTCATAATTCTGTACTATATGCATTAACATGGCCGACGCCACGGGACCTGATATAAATAGCCCGAGTAGCGTACGATACGGCTTTTTGATATGGCGGCACCTAAAGCTCCACAAATATGGTACAAGTCATGAGAGGGAAATTTCTTACCGAAAACTTTACCCCCACATTAAGCTGTTCCCCTGTAAACATTTTACATGCATAAATTGCATAAGGAGAAGTACACAAAACTGGAACAATTAATTGTAGACCATACAAACACTAATTTAGTGCGGTATTTTATATCACGATCACGCAGAGCCGTAGCGAAATGCTTAGCGCCTACACTATAAG